CTCAAGTGATCCTCTCACTTCAGCCTCCCAAGTAGCTGGGACTACAGGCGCACACCACTGTGCCCAGCTTAAAATATTTTGATGACTGTATTTTTAATATAATTTGTTTCCTTCATAATCCAATGCATTTAATTTATTTTAAACATATGAAGACACTCTTCTGAGAAGGAGTTCATGGCTTCACCAGATGCCAAAGAGGCCCATGGCACAGCAAGGAAAAGTTCATTGATCAATCCTCCAATGACCCCATGAAGCAGTAGTATTACCAGCTTGCTACAGAGGGGAGCCTGAGGCACAGGGAGGATGTACAACTTGTTTAAGGTCACATGGATGTTGAGTCGTGCATTGTGATAACTGCCAGCTGTTTTTATAGCCTATGAGCTGATGTGGGCTTGTCCCTTGTGTTACATCAGAAAGCAAGTCTGGTTAATTGTTTTCTTTCTCAAGGTTAAGTGAGATCAATACAAACAATACACATATATCACGTGGATTATTTATGGTCATCATTTGCGAATCCTTATGCCTGTGCCATGTTGGATTAATTATTACAGCTTTGTGAGCTGGTTTATTAAGGAGGGGAAGTAGAATGAACAAATCATGGCAAGTCACTTTACCTCATCTTCTCATTTAAGGATGCTAATGCTGGTGTTGCTGTCAGCTTTCTAAAGCATCTTTTTTTTTTTTTTTTGAGACAGAGTTTCGCTCTTGTTACCCAGGCTGGAGTGCAATGGCACGATCTTGGCTCACCGCAACCTCCGCCTCTTGGGTTCAGGCAATTCTCCTGCCTCAGCCTCCTGAGTAGCTGGGGATTACAGGCACGTGCCACCATGCCCAGCTAATTTTTTATATTTTTAGTAGAGACGGGGTTTCACCATATTGACCAGGATGGTCTCGACCTCTTGACCTCGTGATCCACCCGCCTCAGCCTCCCTCTAAAGCATCTTTAAATGTGAGAGGCAAAGGCCCACACAGTCCGAGGGGAAGGAAAACTCAGAAAAAAGGGTCAAATCCCCCAGTCACTGAGACAAATATCCTGGTGCTGACCATCCTCCACCCGACTCACATGGCCGCTTTCTACCTCGCTTGTGGTAGTTGTCTCTGGAGTGTACTCAGGGAACGCTCTCCCAGAGTGGAAACCGTCTTTGCTGGGAACATTCAGAGAGCTCCGAAATGATGTGTCCTGCCCATCTGGCTCCCTTAGGACTCATCAAGTGCTAGTGGGAGAGACTGAGTGGTCTTGAAGGCCTTTCCAGAAAGTTCCTCTGGCCCTTGATATAGGAGTTTGGTGGTAGATGCCCAGATGCACAGAGTGCTCTAGGAGAGGAAGTCAGCTCACCAACACAAGTGTGCTGGAGGTGGTGCTTGGTTGTGCTGCCTTGGATGAGACCCTTCCCCTGTCTGAGCCCTAATTTCTTTTTTCTTTTTTTGAGATGGAGTATGGTTCCACTGGCGGCTAGAGTGCAGTGGTGCGATCTCGGCTCATTGCAACTTCCATCTCCTGCTTCAGCCTCCTGAGAATCTGGGGCTACAGGCATGTGTCACCATGCCCAGCTAGTTTTTGCATTTTTAGTAGAGACAGGGTTTCACCATGTTGCCCAGGATGGCCTCGAACTCCTGAGCTCAGGCAGTCTACTTGCCTTGGCCTCCCAAAGTGCTGGGATTACAGGCTAGGAGCCACTGTACCCGGCGCCTTATTTCTTCATCACTCAAATGGGAAGAAAACTTAACTGGTGCAGGGAGAGGCGACAAGGTTTTTGCATAGAAACCTGCAGATGCCGGCCTCCTAGAGGGTGGTCCCTATGAGCTGTGACCCCCAGGAGACCCAGCCTAGGCTGGAGGCCACACCAGCCATCACCTCGACAGTGCCTTGTACTACCCAGGGTCCTCAGGCTGGTCTTGTCTGCAGCCATCATGAGTCAGTATCACTGTCAGAAGGGCTTTCAGAGGTTGCTAGCTGCTCTGTCCATGGGAAACAGGCTCAGAGAGGGCCAGGGGCTCGGATCCAATGGCAGAGCCAGGACTCAGAACCAAGGTCTAATATTCCTGGGCAGGACACAGCTGTGTCCTTGATAGTCTGAGGCAATCTGAGATGAACTGGAGCCTGGGTCAGGACCTGGGGACAGGAGGCTGAGAAAAGGCACATAGGTGGAAAGAAGAGAGATGGGAGCCAGGGACAGTGAAGGAGAGAAGGTGAGCACCTGCTCCTGCCTGCCCAGCATACCTGCTTTCTGAAGTCATGACTTGGGTGGCACTGAACCCACTGTTGGTGCTAGACATGATCATGTGACCTAGGTCTGGCCAAGCAGAATAAGACTGATAAGTGCAGGGATGGACACAGGACCAATCCTGGCTGCAGAGAATCATTCCTTTAAGGGAACCACGGAGACGGGGGGCCCTAGGCTGCCAGAGACTTCTTGTGAGGAAAGATCCTGGCTGAGAATAGAGTCCACGCGGCAGATGGAGGGGCTGAGAGGTAGAGCTGACATCATTCGAGCCTCTGGATCTAACCTCAATTGCATTTACCCTTAGACTTCCCAGTTATGTGAGTCCATTTATTTCTTCGGGCTAGAATTTCTATCCCTTGTACTTGAGTCCTGGCATGGAGGAGGAAGGAAGGTAAGAAGGAAGGATGAATATTTAAGAATGAGTGTCTGAGGCTGGGTGCGGTGGCTCCTGCCTATAATCCCAGCACTTTGGGAGGCTGAGGCAGGTGAATCACATTGAGGTCAGAAGTTTGAGACCAACCTGGCCAACATGGCAAAACCCCGTCTCTACTAAAAATACAAAAATTAGTGGGTGTGGTGGCAGGTGCCTGTAATCCCAGCTACTCAGGAGGCTGAGGTAGGAGAATCATTTGAACCGGGGAGGCGGAAGTTGCAGAGATCTGAGATCACACCACTGCACTCCAGCCTGAGTGACAGAGACTCTGCCTCAAAAAAAAAAAAAAAAAAAGAAAAAAAAGAACAGGTATCTGAGGGCAACTCAAATCAGCTTCCTGCTCTCTTATAAAATGTGAGTACACAGAGGAACTTGGGCCTTTATCCCACCCAGAGGAGTTCTGTACCTGCGGCTCACAGCTTTGCCCTGCCTCCTCTCTAGCTTGCAATCAACCTAGAAACTATGGCAGAAAAATAAATGATGTGGATACAAAAATCAAATGCCTTTTCCTCACCTGAGTGCAGGAGGGGGTGGCACGCACTGGGGAATGCCTTCCTCACCCCATTCACCTCTTTGGGGACAAACATTTATTAGGTTCCTGCTTCATGCCAGGCTCTGTGAAGGAGATAACACACATGGTTTCATTTCCTCCGTGCCACAGCCCAGCCAGGAGGGAGTATTATCATCTCCATTCTACACACGGGACAACTGAGGCTTTGGTGATTGAGAAGATAATTGGTGCCTTGAGAGGCCGAGCCGCTGGACCAAAGCGTCGGAACTGGAGCAAGTTTGTCCGACTCCAAAGCCCTGCCCACTGCACCACACGGCACACAGTAGAAGCTAAATAAAGATCTGCTGGCAAATATTGCCCGAGACAATTTGAGCTGTCTGGGCAGCACCTGCCCCTAAATATTTTCCATCCTGCCTGAAATGCCACCATTTCCTTTGGGTCTAGCAACCACGTCCTTTGAGTCTTGAAGGGGAAAAGTGCTGTTTCCCAGGAATGAGATCAAAATCAGTCTGTTGGGTTTACTCAGGGATCGGCTGAGAGTGGGACTCAGAACTGAGCCAGAGCCAGGGGGATGAAGGTGTCCCATTCCCACTGGCCCAGTCTCATCCAGGAGAAAACCTTCTGAGGACAGAGGTGCATCCTGGCGGTAGAGCAGGTAGGTGCCTGGTTGGCCCTGGGTGTTGGCCGATGACAACAGAGCTGAAAGCATGACACAGTGTTGGGGACAGATGACAGAGCGGCTGTGGACCCTTTCTGACTACAGCCTCTGAAAGAAGCTATGACGGTCCTGGTCTCCCAAACTCAGGCAGAGGTCTGATCTTCTCCTCTGCAGCTCCCCCACTAACACCACAGAGGCAGCATCACTGCTGGATAGGGAAGGGGAGGGAGGTTAGGGGTTTTAGCTTGGAGGCAGGGAGGATCTGGACCTGGAGATGGATGTCCTGGCTCACAGTCCCTGTCCTTGAACTGGGGGAGTTGAGGTTACAGAGAGTCTTAAGGGAAGCCACCCAGGTAGAGGCCCAGCTTTCCGGGGCTTGAAGGAGCCTTGGAAGACATGAGCCTATAACACAGACAGGGACTTGGCTCTAGACCCTTCTTCAGAGGTGGTATCTGTTTTAACTGAAAGGTTCTTTCCAGTTGTTTTTAGAGGTTGTTTGAGGCTGTCACTGTAGCCAAAAAGGGTGAGTGCAGCTGGAGTGGGGGATGGGATGGGGCTTTAGCCACGGGGAGCACTAGCTTTTTCCAAGGGTATCCACAGTCCTGTGAGATGCTCTGGGACAAACAGAGCCCATTTTCAAATAAGTACATTTGGAGAAAGCTGCCCACTCTAGCCCCTTCATGGGTCGTCACAAGGCATGTGGCCATATTAAAGGCTCTGATCAGTCCTTCAGGGAAGAATGCCTGTTCACTTCGACTTAACCTGCTGTTTCCTTTTCTCATTGCTCACAGGTACTTTTAGAGACAAGCCATAGTCATTCCCTGTGACACATACTCTAGGATATGCTGGAGGTGGAGAAGCATGTCCTGCTAGGTCTCCTACAGACCCTGAGCTCCAGACACTGGAGCCCAGAAGTGGTGAAGTGTAGAGGGGAAATGATTAATCCACCCATTAAGGGGTGGATGCAGCCCCTTCAGACTTGAAAAGAAAGTTCAAGGACATCTCAAGACTAGGAAACCTTGGAACAGGAGCTAGGAATGGGAGATGGCCTTCTTCTTTTTTTTTTTTTTTTTTGAGGCGGAGTTTCACTCTTGTTACCCAGGCTGGAGTGCAATGGCGCGGTCTCGGCTCACCGAAACCTCCGCCTCCTGGGTTCAGGCAATTCTCCTGCCTCAGCCTCCTAAGTAGCTGGGATTACAGGCACGCGCCACCATGCCCAGCTAATTTTTTGTATTTTTAGTAGAGACGGGGTTTCACCATGTTGACCAGGATGGTCTTGATCTCTCGACCTCGTGATCCACCTGCCTCGGCCTCCCAAAGTGCTGGGATTACAGGCGTGAGCCACCGCGCCCGGCCGGGAGATGGTCTTCTTGCCAACCCCAGGGATGGAACCTGGGCTCTTCAGGCAGTTTCCACTGTGCGAATTCCTTCCCACCTGCCTGCAAACCCACCATTGGTCATGTATTCCTTTGAGGGGCCAAGTGTGGTCTGTTCTCAGCCCATTCAAGGTATTGTGACCCTCTAGGTAGCAGAGAGCCCCTGCAGGAGGTGGGAGAGAAGAGGAGCAAGGCCTACATCAGAGGGATGGGTCCCCGAACACCCTCCATGTCACACACGGAGGGGAGTAGGGAGGCAGATGACCCTTCCGGACTTCTGAGGGAAGGAGGGTTGGCTCAGGAGACCCCGGGTGTCAAGGAAGATGGTGGCACAGTGTCCTGCATCTGGGTCCAGGTTGTCCAGGAGTGCCAAGTCCGAGCTCCTCACACGTGGTCCGGCCTCTGGCATGGCTGCTCGTTAGATGCCTGAGGGCCGTATCATCAGGCGGGAGGCACGCAGTGAGTAGCTGGGGCCCTTGAAGTAGTGCCAGCGGATGCCGTCCATCTTGTGCTTGTTATTGGGAGCACGGTAGTAGATGCCATTGAGGTTTGACAGGCCACAGGCATCAAACCACCACCCTGGTGGAATATGGAGGAAAGAGGCTTGGTGAAGGTGGGAGCCCAGCCAGTGGCAAGAGGGCAGCCCCTGTGTCCCAAAGAGAACAAAGAGCTGTTGCCTCCTCTGGGAAACCAGCTGGCTGGGGATGGGGCTGGGTGGGAGTGGGGGTGGGGTAGACAACATACCCTCTGCTCAGCCGGAGCATCCAGAGGGCAGCAGGGGGCTCCAGCCATCCCTTGAGCCCCTCCGCTCCTCCTGGCCTTCTCCGTTAGCCCTTGGTGTCCCTGTCTTCCTCCCTTGCTGGCCCTCTGTCCTTCTAGCTCCCTAACCTCCCCAAATCACTCTCCCTGCTGCTTTCTAGTGGTCTCTGTCACTCTCTCTGAGTCTCTCACTCTCCAGGGTCATCTCTTTCTCTCTGAGTCTCTCACTCTCCAGGTTCATCTCTTTCTCTCTGACAGTCTCTACGCTTGGGTCTGTCCCATTGTGTTCATCTTTCTCTGATGGTCTTTGCCCCTCTCTGCCTTTCATGTCTCTGGCCTTCCCTTTCTCTGGGCCCCCATCTTTCACATGCTATGTTCGTCTCTGGACCTTTCCTTGGGTTGAGTCTTTCTCCCCCGTCTCCCTCTGTACTTCTCTGCCCTGATATAGCTCTCCATCTGCTGCTCAATGACTGACAGTCTTGGTGTCTCTCTCTCTCTCTCCATCTGTCCTCTGTGTCTCAGAAGGTCTCTACCCTTGTCTCTGTCCTTCCTCCTTTGTCTCTGTCTCCCACTCGCCGCACTTCCCACTCTCTGACCTCTGTATCTACCAAGGAACACTGCCTAAGCCAGAGTTGGTAGAGAGCTGCCCCTCTGCCACCCTCTGGTCTCCTGATCCTGGTTTGGCTCACCTGGGGTTGGGACTGGTAGGGCATGGTGCCTCCCCATGGAGCCCCACACTCAGTGTTCCTTTAGCCTTGTCTCTGAGGAAAACTGGTGGTGCCAGCTTTTGGAGGAGGCAAGACCTGGAAGGGACCTCAAGGACCTAGTGGGGAAAGGCACTGAAGGAGCTCAGCCAGGTGAGCCCATGGGTGGGCAAGGCCGGACCTGCACTCCACTCCCGACAGCACCTGAGTGCACAAGAACCTGGGGAGGGAATGGGACTGTGAATCTGGGCGAGCCTGTGGGTGGGCAGAGCTTCACCCCACCCTGCACCTACCTCCAGACATCACCTGGGCACACTTGCAGAGGCAGTTATCGTTGTCTGAGTCAAAGGTGCTAAAGCTGGTGTTTTGCAGAACCATGCTGCTTCGGCGCCCTGCTGAGCCGTGGTACCCGCCCAGAGAAAGCCTGGAGGCCAATCAGAGGTGGTGGTGGCAGAAAGGCCCAGAGTCAGGGTGAGACTCTGTTGAGGAAGAACTTCCCCAATGGTTTTGTCCCAGACTGAGCTTCCCCTCCAGGTGTTCTTGGAGGGGAAGCCCCAGCCTGGGTGGGGTGCTTGGGCCATTTCCCCTCCTGATTGCCTTTCTTGCCTGCTGCCTCCCAGGAACAAAGCACCTACTGTATGCCAGGCCTTCCCCATCTCAGTGAACCCGAGTCTTGGAGAGAAGTGAGAATGGTCACAATAGTGATAATAATTACGAATATGTATTTTTTTTCTTTAGAGACATCATTGTGCTCTGTTGCCCAGGCTGGAGTGCAGAGGCATGATCACGACTCATTACAACCTCAGCCTCTTGGGCCCAAGCAGTCCTCCCACCTCAGCCTCCTGAGTTAATGGGTCTATAGGCATGTGCCACTGTGCACAGCTAATGTTTGAATTTTTTGTAAAGATGGGGTCTCGCTATGTTGCCCAGGCTGGTCTTGAATGCCTGAGCTCAAGCAATCTGCTACCTAGGCCTTCCAAAGCTCTGGGATTACAGATATGAGCCACCATGCCTGGCAACACATTTTTTCTTTTCTTTTTCTTCTTCTTCTTCTTCTTCTCATCTACTATGTGTCAGGCATTGCTCAAGTTCTTTGCACGGGTTAACTCATTCTCATTTAATTCTCAAAACACCCTATTCCCATTTTACACATGTGTAAAAAGATCCTAAGAGCCAAAGAAACCTGCTCAAGGTCTCAGAATAAATGAGGGTCAGAACCACATGCAGCCTGCTGTGGCCTGACTTGGGAGTCTACATGCACCTTGCTCCCCAGTTGATGATGATCTGGCAGCCCCAGTCCCATCACACCTCTCACATTCACCCACCTCTTCTCCCAGAGAGCAGTCCAGCCAAGGGTGTGAAGGTCTGCCTTGGGACAGTGATTGTAATATTAGTTGCTGAGTGTTTACTACCTGCCAGGAACTGTGTTAATGCTTCATGTGTGGTATCTCATTCAGGCCTCATCACACTTTTTTTTGAGGCAGGTATGCCTAAGGTATCTACAGACAGAAAGGTGAAGGGACTTGCTCAGGGTCACTCAGGGAAGTAGGGATGGAGTCAGGACTTAAGCCTTTGTGTTGGTGGCCAGTGGCTTAAATGGGACTCTGCAGGGTGTTGTAGCTACTCACTGATCAGCTGTGAGGAGTAGGGGTCATCCAGGAAATTGTTCATTCAGTTCTGGACCTTGCATTATTAGATTGATATGGATCCCATAAGGAAGGATGTCAGAACTACCCAGTTGGAGGAAACAGTGGGGGCACTTCACTGAGAAGTCCCAAGAAGTAAAATCAGGCATAAAGTTCAAAAGGAAAGAGTCATCCAGAGATTCCTTGGGAGGAAGCGACCTTCCCATCAGCTGGATATTGACTGCGACTATGGGGGGAATCTTTGAAAACCAGATGACATGTGAGGTCCTTTGTAGCCCTGTGAGTGTGAGTGTACAAATCTAATTCTGTCCTGGTTCAGAGATAGCCAGGATTCATGCTTATCTAAAAGATCCTTGAATATTTCTATGAGAGGCAATATCATGCTGTGGAGACATCATGAGTTTCGGCAGCAGGGAGATCTGAATTCAAATTCAGACTAACTTGATCTGAGTTCAAAAACAGGTTAACTTGTGACTTTTGGCCGGATACTTAAGTGTGGTGTCTCAGTTTCCACATTACCAAAGTAGGTACAGTAATGCCTACCTCAAAGTGTTGTGGGGAGGATTAAATGGAATAATGGTGCCCGGAACATAGTAAGTGCTCTATAAATGTTAATTCCTTTTCCTAAATATACCAAGAACCAGGCTGAGGAAGGGGTGAGAAACCTCGATGATCTTACATCGTCATATGTAAGCTCATTCTGCTATTGAAGAAGCAGAGGCTCAGAGAAGCGAGCTCACTTGTCTAAGTTCCCAAAGCAAGCTGGAGCGAGGCCACAATGAGTGCAGGGATTTCAACTTCCGGCCCAGAGACACTTCCACCCAACCCCAGGCTATAGGACAGACTGGGCAAGTCACCTCCCTTTGCTTCTGGGTCTCTGTAAAAAGGCTGACTTGAGGTGACTGACCTTGGAAGACCCCTTCTTGCTCCTCGGGTGGCAGTGCCAGCGACATTCTTTCCACCCCACCCGGTGGCTAGGACATGCTGAGTGCTAACCAGCCGCCTCCAGATCCCATGACGTGCACCCAAATGGGGGACAGATGGTAGGAACAGGAGACGCCCAGAAACTGACCCTTGGTGCAGACTCTGTAGACACTAGTCTGGGGACCCCAGCCCACCCACTAGCCTGAATACCCTGCCAGCCCACCCACCGGCCTGGGCCCTGAGCCCACCTGTATAGCTGGCCCTCACTGCCCAGCTGGAAATGCTCGTACTGGGCATAGGTCTTGTGGCCTTCCCAGTCTTGCAGCTCCACGCGCAGAGAGTAGGGTGCCCTGCTGGTGAGCTGGTACACCACCTCATTGCCAAGCCAGTGCTCCCCAGCCGGATCTCCGAAGCCCTACAGGGAGGGGAGCATGGGGTGAGTTTCATGCTGAGGAGGAGGCCATGTCCCTGGCTGAGGAGCTGGGCTGGGCCAGGCTCCAGGGCTACTTATACAAAACCACTGTGCTTAATGATCGAGTTCATAAGTACAGTGTAGGCAGGCCCGGGAGTGGGAGCCCTCCACCTTCTAGAGGAAAAAGACTAAGACTTTTGTAAGTATAAAAGCCTGTTAAAAGTTATTGAAATCACATACTAATCTTTGATGCTACTTTTGAGGGAGTATTGACTGGGAAGAGGCACAAAGTGGACCTCTGGGTGCTGGGAGTGTTGTACATGTAGCTCTGCATGGTGGTCACATGATTGGATACATATGTAAGGATTCACTGAGCCTTACACTTCAGGATTTGTGCACTTAGCCACATGTATGTTAAATCTCAACAAAAATTAATAAAAGATTTCAATCAGCTACATAAACAGTAGAGCAAACTTCGTTCAGTGACAGTGCAGCCACTGCAAGACTTCAGCAACATAGAAATGTAAAACTGAGTGTGGGGAAATGTCATGTCTCAATGCCCTTGGACAGAGCACTAATTCAGCACCAAGGACAGAGGCACACACAAGGCCCACTCCCTATTTTAGTCCCCATGCAGTGTGGATTAGCCCGATGGTTAATATTCACTGGTCTTTTGTGCATTTCTGCATCTGCCACCCTAGTCCTCCTTTTTCATTTTAATAATTGTTTAAAACCCAATTAGTTAAAAACACTCATAACTTAATTTGGTATTTAATTATTCTTTAAATGAACAGCAAGCAGACACAAATAATAAAACTGCTGTATTACCTTGTGGGTGTCTTTTTCTATTTCTTTGGCTTTGAAAACTTAAAAAGCTTTCAAGTATTTTAAGTCAGCTTGACAAAAAATCCTTTATTCATAACCTAATTAAAAATTGGGAAACAATCAGGCTTCTCATTTGACAAAATACATGTGCTCTTTGAGCCTGCAACTACTTGTTAATGAATCTCTCCTGCAGAGTGGCCATGGATGTAGGAAAAGACAAGAAAATGCACTAAAGCAATGCAGTCAGGGGTGACTGGGAGGGATTGTTTTTCTGTTCCCTCCTTTGTATTCTTTAAAATATCAGCAATGTGTATGTATCATATTTTTTAAAAATTAAAACAAAAATAAAGCTAAACTTTTTTCTTAAAATATATGTAAGAACTTTCAAAACAAATATTAAAATTCAGGTAATGGGGTCTCATAAGTAGATGTGCACCATTGGCTTTAGACAAGTTGATTTTTTTTTCTGGGGGAGGAATGAGGGCAAAGCAGACCCCTTCCAACAGCCCAGCCCCTGCCCCAGGTTTCAGGGCTGAATGGCCCCTCTCCAGGGCAGCAGGATTACCTGTTTGTAATCCTTCCAGTTCCGCTGGAAATTCACAGTGCCATTCTCACGGCGCTGGATGATGGTCCACCTGCCTCCACTGCTCTGCAGGTCACAGAACACCTGGAGGGGGTGGGCAAGACACAGCTGGGAGCCCTTGGAAGCAGCCAGAGGCCAGGTCTGTGCTGGCTCAAATGCGGCTTGGCTGACAGACCCCCACAGAGCAAGAGGTGAGCCTGGGGGTCCTGGGTATCAGAATGATCCAGGCTCAAACTCCCCATCCACTGTCATCACTTTTCTAAAGTGATGGGTAAGTAATAACCTCTCAGAGCCTTCCTCTCCTCATTTGTAAAATGGAGGTTCATACCTTAACCTCTTTGTGCCTCAGTCTCTCATCTGCAAACTGGGGTTGTGAAAATTAAGTGAGATGAATCATGTAAAGTGTTAAAACAGTGCCTGGCACATACTAGGTAAATGGAGGCTTTGCCTCTTTTTGTTGAAAGGAGAGTTTAGCAGGTGTGTGAAAAGTGTAAAAGACAACCTGGAGACAAGCAGAGGCATTGGTCTTGGTATATTAAAAGGGGGTGAAAGGAAATTGAGTCATGGTGGCTCATGCCTGTAATCCTAGCACTTTGTGGGGCCAAGGGGGGAGGTTCACTTGAGCCCAGGAGTTTGAGACCAACCCAGGAAACATAGGGAGACTTTGCCCCTACAGAATGTTTTAAAATATTAGCCAGGGCATGGTGGCATGTGCCTGTGGTCCCAACAACTTGGGAGGGTGAGGCAGGAGGATCACTCAAGCCCAGGAGGTTGAGGCTGCAGTGAGCTATAATCATGCCATTGCACTCCAGCCTGGGTGTCAGAGTGAGACCCTATCTCAAGAAAAAATAAAATACTTATGAAGTGGGAATCTCTGTTAGTTGTTTCCCTTCTGGGCCTGGCTCTCAGACCTTCCCTCTTGACATCCATACTCTTTTTGGTCACCCTCCTCATCTGATGACTTAACCTTAAAGTTTAGGGGAACCTTGGGAGCCACTCATTGAAGATGGTGGCTCCTCCATTAGCCCTGGTTTCTAGCTTCTCGCATAGAGCAGAACCCAAAGTCCTGCCTTCAACCGGACTATATGCAAAATAGAAAGAAGTGTCTTTATGCTAAGCCCCTGGAATTTTGGGTTATTTGTTATATCAGCTAGCATCATTTTAACCAACACAGAACTATTTCCTGCTGTTCCAGTGAAAGCATCTCTGAAGTGATGCTGGTGAAGGATGCACTTCCAGCTTTGTGAACTTCTGCTTATCCCCACAATCAGACCCCTGACTGCTGGGGGTTTCAGAAGTCAAGGCCACCCCTGTGTCTCTGGTATTTCAGATACTGGACAAAGCCTGTTGCCGATGGGGTGCGGGGTGTCTGTCTGGGAAGCCCTTTGCTCAGCACCCTCTAACAGCCACAGTTCCCAGGGAGCCTCCTAACCTTCCTGGGCTTCGCTGCATTGGACACCTGAATGGTGTAGACATCACTGGCATTGGCCCCAGAGCGCTGGATCTCTGCACAGTCCTGGAACACCTGTTCACCTGTCATTATGAAGGCTGCAAAGGGACAAAACAAAAGTCAGCTGGAGCCAAGGAAAGAGAGAAGGGGCCAAGTGGGCATGGCTGCCTGCTTTATGTTCTAGGTTGGGAGGTGCTGGGAACCGGGAGATGAGTCGGGCCTGGGAAGATTTTGTAGAGGAGGTGACAGTAAGCTGGGACATGGACAATGAGCAGGAGTTGCCCATGAGGAAGGGGAAGATGCTCCAGGCAAAGGAAACAGCCTATGCAAAGGCCCCAAGGTAGGAAGGGCCCTAGTGTGTGCAGGGGACAGGGCATGGGCAGGGGAACTGAGGCTGAGGCCAGGGAGAGGAAATGACTCACACCATGAGACAGGAGTTGAGGCCAGGGAGGCTGCTTGCTCTTTGATGAAACTGAGAGGGTAGAACATGGCTGGCACAGAGAAGGTGAGGAAGGGAAGGAAAGAGGAGGCTGAGATTTCAGCAGGGCCAGGTCAGCCTCGAATGCCAGGCTGAGGAGCCCAGATTCTCTGGGTTAAGAAAGAGCACTCTGGCCAGAGTGTGGAGCGGGGACTGGAGGGGAGGAGACTCAAAGCTGGGAGGCCAGAGAGAAGGCTGCCGAGGTTTTCTAGGAGAGAGTACTGGGGCTTGAACTTCAATGAAGGACTTCCCATTTCACAGACCAGGAAACTGAGGCCCAACAGTGAGAAAACTGGCCCAAGGGCACACAGCCAGGCAGGACAGAACCTTCCTTCCTTGGAGATCTGTTGGTTGGGGGCTGTGGGGTCCCCTCCATAGCCCCCACTTTTGGCTGGATCTCCCTGCTGTCCTGGGCATTGGCCCCCTTATTCTGTCCTCCCTGGAAGCTGACTGCTGGCTTTAAAGGGCCTCTGTTTCTTCCCTTTGGACTACATGAGATCAGGAGAGAATTTAATGACCAAAATCTACCAGGGGTTTCTAGGCCTGGGCTGGAAAAAGTGACCGTTGACAAAGGGCAGAGATTTAAAATCTCCTCTATCTCCATTAGTGGGATCCAACTAGAGGTCTGAACTATGATTCTACCAGAATCCAATCTCTCTAGGTAAGCAGGTACCCAGGATGGGGCCAACATTCCAGACGGATAGGTTGTCAACACCGGTGAGGACCTGGGAGGCTACCACGGGGTGGGACTTCCTGGTTTGGCTTTACATCTGAACTTCAGGGATCCCCAATTCTGGATCTGGGGCACTTGTCTGGAGAAGGCTATTGCTCTCATGCCACAAATGAGGTGACTAAGACCCCCAGATCCATTCCAGTTTGCCCACAAGCATATCCTGGGCAGGGGTCTCCACTGCCCCACCTGCCAGCACCCCTCTAGCTTCCCGTGGGGAACTGGAGTCCAGCCAAGCATGAGGAGGCTACTGGTCTCAAGGTGAGCAGGAATGCGCTGAACTTCACCCAGTAAGGCAAGGACAGAGCCAGGGTTGGCCTGAGATTTCCAGCCACCCTTTTCAAAGCTCTGCTCCCTGTTATTTCCTTAGTCTTCAACAATATCAATAACAAACAACATAATATCAACGCTAAAAGTGAAACACTCACCAGGTATTGTAGTGTTTCCAAGGTGCCATGTAATGGCAGCGGTAGTTTGGGGCCAGGAAAAATATTTTTGGGAGTCATAAGAATAGGATAAATGGGTATTGATACATGGTTTAACCTAGTCCTCCTCTGGGCTGGTAAGTTGTACCAGTTTCCCCGCCCTTGGCCATAGGCACTGTGCTGAACCCCTTTGTTTGCATGAACTCATCTGATTCTCTGTGTAAAAACTCTGTAAGATTATTATTCCCATTTTACAGATGAGAAAAACTGAGGCTCTGAAAAGTTAAATAAATGACTTATATGAAGTTCCAGTGCCAATAAGTGAAGAAGGCAGGCCTTGAACTCTGGCCCATCTGACTGCAAAGCCAGTGCCCTTCCTCCTACACATCTCTTGGATTTCCACCACTGAGCATGCGTAAGACTGGGGAAACAGCCTGCATTAACAATTGCTGTTTTTACATCATACAAAGATTAGGTCTTTTCTACCTGTGCCCTTGTCCTTGTAACCTTCTGATCCAAACTCCCCAGTGCCTGGAAACAGCAAAAGACTTGACTCTCTTTTCCTTTCACCAGCCTCCACCTGACTAGGACAAAGCTCTGCAGAGAGCTAGTTCTCCCTTCCTGCTAGACTTCAAGGATACCTGGTTCCTGTGCCCCATCTCCATCCAACCCTCTTTTCTACTCCTGGTGACTGAGTTCTTCAGTTTCTCTATTCAGAAGGGGGCAAAAGCAGCCTCCTAGTGTCCTTCCCTGGTCATACTGGAGCACAGTAGACAGGGTGTTTGGGCAAAAGGTGCCCCAAGTGAGGTGCGCTACACAACCTCCTACTCAGACGATTGAGCAGACATTCAGCCTCAGATGGAGACTGGGTCAGTGGTGGGTTAGTGGGAGAAGCACTGGGTCCAGGCCCTGTGCCTAGGGCTATCCTACAAGAAACCCACACATGGGATGAATTCAGGCAGCCTCACTGCCAGATCCATGCATAAGCAGGTAATGGGTTCGGGTTAAGCCACATCTTGCAATTTGGAAGGTGTCTACTTTTCCTGCCTGTAGCTTCCTTAGGCCTCAAATCCCTGCTTGGCTGGGTCTGCCAGACTTACATGGAGCCAGGGTGGGGTCCTGTGTTCTCAAATCTCTGTCAGCCCTGGTGCCATCACCATTGCATCTAGAGTGCCATCACCATTGCATCTCAAAGGCTTTCCAGCCTTCCTTCATGGATCCAGGAGCAGCAGTGGCCCCTTCCGTCTTTCTCTCTCATCAAGCCATCTCCACTCATGACTCCAATAGGAGCTTCTTGAAAGTAGTACCATTCTGTTCAAAAGCCTCCTGTGCCCCCTGCTAGCCTCAGGCTAAGAGCCCTTCTCCTTCACACAGCCTTTGGACATGTCTGTTTTCATGGTCTGGAAACTTCAGGAACACTGATAGCTGAGCATCTGGCACACGTTTGGCACTCAAAAACCATGTGTTTCTTTCTCCTTCCCTCTGGGACCCATAGACCAAGGACTAGATTTTTTGCAAGAGACAGAGGCCGTGACTATTCACTGCTCTATCCCCAGCACCCAGCAATGAGCGTGGCACACAGTAAGTGCTTAGTACATGTTTGTTGAGTGAGTGATTGCAGCTGGGACCAAGCATGCCTTGGCCACCCCAAGAAGGCTGCATTAGAAGGAGTGAGGGCCTGGGAGCAGGCCCAGGCATTGTTTTCCCTTCCCAGAAACCAGGGCCAGGGAGGCCTCCTCACTTCTGCCTGGCCCTCTTGGGCTTAGGGCAGGGGATTATGTTGAGAGAGATCCTTGGGGTGCATTGAGTCCAACCTCCCAGTTCCTTCCAATTCTATAGATAGGGAAACCAAGGCCAGCGAGGGCTAAGACAAGCCCAAGAAAGTGGAGCTGGAGAGTGAATCCTGGAGACCAAACTTGTCAGTCTGGGCTGCTGTTGCCCTTATCCTCACCTCCAAAACCCATGAGGCCAAGAGAAGGGCAGGGGCATGCCTAAGGTCACCCACGCAATCAGGGAGGAGGGTCTGGATTGGGATTGTTGTTGCCGCTATTGTTATTGCTGTTTATTATTTCTACTTCACAGATGGTCGGGGAGGGTGGGGCCCCTCAATGGTTTCCAGGCTCCCAGAGACGCAGAAGTGTGAGCAGGGTCTCCCTGCCGTCTCCCGCCCATCTCCAGCCGCACTTGGGGCACACCGCTCGCTCACCCGGGGCCAAGGCCTTAGCCCTTTCTTGCATCCGGTTCCGCCACACCACCAGCTGCTGGCGCAGTTGGTGCTGCTGTTCCTGCAGGAGGCTGGAGTTGTGCCTGAGACCTTGCAGGCCGAGCTCGATGTTGGTGAGGGCAGCGCTCTGGCGGCTCAGCGCATTCAGCAGCTGCTCCTTCTTGCTGAGGAGGCTGGCCAGCTCCTCCTGCTGCTTCATTTCCAGGGCCCGCAACCGCGCCTCTAGCGTGCTGCCGGGTAGAGGGCGCACAGTGGTGAGCCTGCGGTCCTCGCGAAGCATGTGCCCCACCGCGTGCCTCCCTCGGATCCGGAGTCCCTGCACTTGATGATGAGACTCAAGTGTGGTGGAGCGTCCTGTGCCCACTGTAGGCACAGATTGAAGAAGGGAGAAAAGAGATACCCAGCCTTGGCGTAATAAAGATTGAGGTCCAGTAGATGAAAGAGGTGGTGTGGGAGGGACACCAGCAACTGGGTAGCTATTATTGAATCCCAAACGTGCTTGCTTTTTGACCCAGCAGTCTACTCTCAGGAGATATCTTCTAGGGGGCATGGGCAGGAATGACCCTGGGGCCTTCCTTATAATAGAAAAAACAAGCCAAAAAACGATATCGCCTAGATGCCCCACAGCCAGGACTGGCTGAATCTGTTGCGTTTTGACATCCCTGGAAATATTCTGCAGCCATGAAGGAGGAGGCCGGGTGCATTTGCACAGAACTGGAAAGCTGCCCAGGACTTGGGGCACATCAAGTCTAACCCCATGTGTGGCAAGAAAAAAAAAAAAAAAGAAAAAGACAGAAAGTATTAATGTGAATATAGAGAAATAGGGTGATCATATAGGAGAAGGCTGGAAAGACGGGTGGAGAAGCCGCAGTGGTGCCTGTGTTTGGAGAGAATATGAAAGAAAGCCCCTCAAGTGCCGTGACTTCTGCGGAGCAGGTCTGAGTGGATGGAGATGGAGAGGAGGAAGTTGGGGGCGGGATGGAGGACCAACTTTCTCTTGTATTTTGTACAGATTCCTGTTGTCCGATGATATAATAATCAAGAGACATTTTTGTAATGGATTTGGAAGCAAAGAGGTTTTCAAAAGAAAGTTTTTGACTCAGCCCTTTCTTTTTGGGGATTTTATCCTCCAGATTTACTCACATGTGTGTGAAATGAGATATGGAAACGTTACTCATCGCATCCCTGGCTGGATTAGTGAAAGGCTGGAAACAACCTCAGTATCCATTAACTGAGGACTGGAGAAATAAGAGCAAGGACCGCGTATGGTGGAGCATTACAAAGGTGGAGAAAAGAATGAGCAAGCACACCAGGCAGTTGTAGAATCTTTCCAAGGTGACAGAACAATACCTTATAAAAACAAGGCATAAACAAGTGGTAGGCCACATTTGGGCTTAAAAAGGATAAAAAGGGGAATGTACAGATTCTCCAAAATGTGTGATGGGGCTATGTCCTGATAAAGCCATGGTAAGTTGAAAATGTCCTAAGTCAAAAACGCATGTAATACACCTAACCTGCTGAACAGCCTAGCTTAGCCTGGGCAGCCTTAAACATGCTTAGAACACTTACATTAGCCTGTGGTTGGGCACGATCATCTAGCACACAGCCTATTTTGTAATAAAATGTTGACTCTCTCATGTAAGGCATTGAATATTGTACTAAAAGAGAAAAACAGGATGGTTGTATGGGTACTCAAAGTACCGTTTCTACTGCGTGTGTATTGCTTTCCTACCATTGTTAAGTCACACATTGTAAGTTAGCAATCTTCTGCATGTATGTGTTTGCATATTCACAAGAAACCCTGGAATGTCAGCCTATAGAATGTCAGCTTCATGAGGACAGGGGCTTTTGTCTCTTTGTTTACTTCTATATCCACAGTGTCTGTAATAGTGCTTGATACATGGAAAGAGCTCAAAAAATATGTTGGTTGATAGAATGGAAGGATACACAAGAAACTAGGAACAGCGGCTACCTCTGGCTTGGGTGGATGGCTGAGGGACAGGGCTGGGAGGAAGACGTTTTACTGTGTATACACTTGTGTTGACTCATTCTGCAGACTAAGAAAATGAGTCCAGCTAGAGCAGAAGAAATTTCCTCTGGACTCCCAATTATGCTGTAGGAAAAGAGAATTGAGGCACACTGAAATTCTAGAATTCCCGCTGTCTTCACAAGCCGAGAGCTTACTGAGGACAGCCTCCATCTTCATTGATTTCTAGACACCTGGTGCTAATTTACAGTGACTGAAAATGTCCCAGTCCTCATCACTCAGACCTTGGGTTGGGGGAATAAGAAGATGGTCAGACTGTCATTAATTACACCCAGATCAGAGAGAGCTTGGAGATCTCATGGCCGTGTCCTGGCCCAGCATGTAAACAACTTCTTGCCTGATTCACAGGCCTGTGGCTTGTTCAGTGGGTAGATTTTGGCTTCTCCAGAACCCTGACCTTGGCAGTTTTTTTCTTCACTCAGCTTGAAACTGAGATGAAATCAGCCTTAGCTGTCAGATTTCTCTGCTTTATCTAAACCTCATGACACTTTTTTTCTTTGTAATTTAAAGGGTGTTCCCCTGATGCATATTTGCTTATAAATGCAAAGACTCTCTGATAGTGCAGATGAGAACCCGGTAACTGTGGTTGCGTCTGGGGACAGGAAGCAGGTGGACAGCACCAGGTTTATTTATTTGCAAAGAAGTAAAGCCGATACAATTTGCAGGGTGGGTAGTATGGTGGGTGAATTAGATCTCAATAAAACCGTTAAAATTTACAAGATAAATAAAAAGAAAGAGGAAAGGAAGGAAGGAAAGGGAAAGAAAGAATCAGGGTGTCCTGAGCCCCAGGAAAATGCCTATCCCCAGTCCCACCCAGTGCAGGGGCCAGGCCATGTGCCTGCCTGGCCCCTAGCACAGCCCCATACCCACTCTAGTTTCCAGCCTCAGTCTGGACTCCAACCCTGGTTTCAGTCCTTCCCCAGCAGGGGCTAGTCCCAGCTCTAGTTTCAGCTCTAACTCCCAGAATACCTCCTTGCCCTAGTCCTAATCCAAGCTCCTAGCTCTGGCCACAAGCCCTATCCCAGACATCAGCCCACATCGAGCTTCCAGTCCTGGCTCCAGCTCCAGCCCCAGCCCTGGTCCCAAAGTTGACTCCAGCCCCAGCCCCTGCCCTAGTCTGGTGCCAGGCGCCACACCCACCTGTTTTGGCCCTGAAGCTGCTGGAGCTTCTGCCTCTGCAGCAGCAGCTGTTTCTCCAGCTTGTCAGTGGACAGGAGGGTCTTCAGCATCTGGGTGTCCATTCTTGATGCCTGGCTCAGGAACTGCTCCAGCAAGCAGAAGCCGGTAGGGGACTACATAAGCCCTACAGGAGCCCTGGCCAACCACCCACCTGCCCACAGACCCTGCCACTCCAGAAACTCACTGACCCGTTTCCACTGTCCTGGAAACAGTAGTTCCTGTGGTCACTCATTCACAGGCCCTAACTTAGTTTAGCTTCCTAACTTAGCTTCCTAAATTTGCCTTTCCCCATCACTGCAATGGCAGCTCCATTCCCCCTGCTGCTGAGGCCCCAGGAACTGTCATCCCTGTCCCCCACATCCAACCCACCTGCAGGTCCTGTCAGCTCTATCTTCCAGGTGGCACCTGACCATTTCTCTCCGGCTCTGTGGCTTTCACTCTGGCCCTGGACTCCCACCCTCATTCCCTACAGTCCATTCTCTACTCAGCCTGGGGCTACCTGTTAAAACAAGTTTGCTCTGTTCAGAATCTTCCTGTGACTCCCATCTCATGCAGCAGAAAAGCCCCAGTCCTCACCATGGCCTGCAAGACCCTATATTGTGATCTGTCCCTATCACTTCTCCAGACCCTTGCCTGCCACTCTCCTCCTGGTCACTCCAGCATACTGGTCTCTTGATGTTCTTGAACCCACCAGCACGCCCCCTCCCTCGGGCCTTTGCACGTGCTGCACCCTCTGTCTGGAGCACTCTCTGCAGTAAGCCTGGCTGCAGCCCTACCTTCTCCATGGCCCTTCCTGGCCTTGCTGTGTGAACTCGCAGCTCTCATCCCTCCCACCACTCCCAATGCACCCGCCTCTTGCTCTGTCTTCCACGCTGTTTTCTCCTTAGCGCGGCCACTGGCTAACACACACAGCCACGTGTTGCTTAACGATGCAAAGATGTTGTAAGAAATTCGTCGTTATGTGATTTCGCCATTGTGCAAACATCATAGTGTGTACTTACACACACCTGGATGGTGCAGCCGCCTACACACCTAGGCTATATGAGACAGCCTGTTGCTCCTAAGCTACAAACCCGTACAGCACCTGACTGTACGAATACTGTAGGCAGTTCTACCACCTGCGAGGTATTTGTGTATGCATATCTAAACATAGAAAAGGTGCAGTAAAAACAGGGTGTGAGAGCCTTATGGGCCTGCCGTTGTCTGTGTGGTAAGTTGTTCACGGGAACGTTGTTAAGTAGCGCATAACCACATATGTCATTTATCTTTCCATTTCCAGGGGAAGCCTCACAGTGGTAGGAATGCATGCCTGTTTGTTTCCTGCTATATACTAGAAACAGTCTTCTCAAGCAGTGCCCGGCACACAGGGGATCCAACAAACAAATGGGCAGAAACTTGTGTCCATTTGTTATTGACTGTTTCATCCACTGACTTCCCCACCCTCCCTTTTCTCACCAGTTCCCTCCCTGCTCTTTGCTGCTCAGATACCTCCTCTCTCCAAGTCCTTGGCTCCTGGAGGCCCAAATAATTATTTTTTATCTATCTTCCCCTAGTGCCTTATAAGCCTCCTGAGGGTAGGGGGGCTGTGCTGCTCTACCCCTCCTCCCAGTGCCCAGCACGGACCCCGGCACTGAAGTTACAGAGGCAGAAAAGCCAAGTCCAGCATTCACCTCCCAGGGCTCATAGCTTAGAGGGAGATAGTTTTCTGAGAAGGTCATCAGAAAGGAGGGGCCCAGGGGGCTACAGGCCCAGAGGAGGCCTTGACCCTACCCAGGGACAGAGGTCATGGTAAGATGATTGGGGCTGTGAGCCAGCCTGGCCAGTCACAGGCCCTCAGTGCCTACTCACTCACTCTCCATTACCTGAGCCTCCATGTCCGTCAGCTTGCGGGTCTGGGCAGTGGTCTGGTTCAGGAAGCTGATGTCCAGCTTCAGCAGGGGGGCCGTCTGATTGTGGACCATTTGCTGCTGGGCTTCCACCAGCTCCAACCTCAAGTGCATCTTGATGGTCCTCTCTAGCTGTGGGAGACCATGGGCTGGGGTCACAGGGGAGATGCTGGGGGAAGCCCCCTGTCCCTCCCATGTGTCTCCATGGAAGGGCACTGAGCAGGCACAGGAGGCCTCCCTGGCTCAGAACATGCCGGGCCAGCTCAGGCCACCTTTACCTCTTGCCTGGACAGTCACAGTAGATGTTTCCTTGGGAGGGATCACATATATGTTTTGTCTGCCTCTCTGCCTCCGTCCTTGTCCCCTTCACGGTCCTCCCCCTCTAGGCAGCCAGAGGGATCCTGCTAAACCTAAGTCAAGTCATACTCCTCCTCTGCTCAAAATCCTCCCAGGGTTCCTACCTCACTCAGAAAAGCCAAGACTGCAGGTTCCTCCGTGACCGGGCCTGCCGCTACACTCTCATTCTATTCCTATTCCCCTCTCCCTCACTCACTTCAATCCCGATGCAATGCCTCCCTGACATCCCAACAAAGCAAGCCTGCGCCCCCCTCAGGGCCTTTGCACATGCTGTTTCCTCACTGTTCCCTCTGGAATCCTCCCCCAGCCCCCACCCCATCTGCGTGGCACACACCCTCATGTTGTTTCAGGTTTCTTCATGCCACTTAACACCACTTGACTTTTTAAAATCACTACCTCTCTTTTTATCTGTCTGTTGTCTGTTTCTCTCTCTAGAATGTCAATTCCATGAAGCCAGGGACTTGGTTTTGCTCACTATCTTATTTCTATGTTTGGCACAATGCATGGCACACAGCAAGTGCTCATAAAGATGTGTTTAATGAATTGATGAAAAAGGGGAAGCAGCAAGGGTCAGAGCACAGCACCCAACCACATGCCCCTTCCCCACTTCCTCGGGGAGAGCCATCCAGCAGGGAGTGGGAATGCATCTCTCCCTTGTACAAAGAGTTTGCAGGTCCGTTGGCCAAGCTGTGCTTTCTCTCTTCAGGTCTCCTCCATCTGCAAATGGGGCTGGACTGGCCAGTCTCCAAGGGTTCTCCCAGCTCTGATGTTCTGGGATCCCACGTGCTAATGTTCATTTCTTTGACAGGGCTGCTCTCTTTCCCAAGGGCAGGAGAGTTGGTCTGGTACAGCACCAGGATTGTGTTGTAAAGGTGAACAGTGTGTTCTTAGGGCTCAGTGCCTGTCGGGAGAGAGCCAGCTCTGCCCCACCATTCTCTCTCCATTTGGCACACATGCTGGCCTCTCACCACACCCCCCGATCCCCGTCCCTGGCTCCTTCCCTTGCTTTCTCACTCAGTCTTTCAGAAGGTCCAACTGGACAGCTCCCAGGGTCCCTGGGAAGACGGGTGCTCCCCAGGAGAGGTGGTGACCTTTGCTCTGGCCAGGCTCCAGCCACTTCCTCCTTCATCTCTTCTCCTTTCTTCCATCTTGACTGTCCACTCCCATCCCTTCCTCCCCCTGGAGTGTTTCAAAGGGAGCATGTTCCATTATCAAATCCTGGAGTGGGTGCTTGTGGGCCGTAGTAGTATTGGTTAGACTATGTCAAAGTATGGTTCTTTCATCAGCATCAGCTGAGAGTTTATGAAAAATGAGAATTTCCAGGTCCCACCCTAGACCTACTGAACTGGAAACTTAACGGTGTCCAGCCAGCTGCGGTTAACAGCTCCCTGGCTGCGTTAGATACTTGCTCAAGTGTGAGAGCCCTTGACGCAGAGATGGCAGGGGGGACTGAAGACCAGAGAGACCTCCTTCCATCCTTCTCTGCATCATTAACCCCCGACTCCCTGTAGGACACAGCATGTGCTAACAAGTTCCATCTAAAAACTGACCCCACAGCCTCTCTGGCTGCTTCTCCAGTTTCTCTGGTCTCCTTAACACAAAACTTCTACAAGTTGTCTCCACATTCTCACCTCCACACCCACCCTTACTTAAAAAAAAACTATAATGTTAATAATATAATGACGTTACATTTCACACATATAAAAAAGCATAGAGGCCAGGTGCGGTGGCTCACACCTGTAATCCCAGTACATTGGGAGGCAGAGGAGGGTGGATCATTTGAACCCAGGAGTTTGAGACCAGCCTGAGCAACCTGATGACATTTTATTTCTACTGAAAATACAAAAATTAGCTGAACATGGTGGCACAAGCCTCTGGTTTTCGCTACCCAGGAGACTGAGGCAGGAGGATTGCAGGAGACCAGAAGGCAGAGGTTGCAGTGAGCTGAGATGGCACCACCGGACTCCAGCCTGGGCAACAGAGTAAGATTGTATCTCAAAAAAAAAGTATGGAGAATAAACATAACCTGCAGTGTTCATCCTCCTGTACACTCCCAGTCACATCTCTCCATCTGGGGAAGTCCATTTGCCTTTTGGGGTCTCACTGTCACCCAGGCTGGAGTGCAGCGATGTGATCGTGGCTCGCTGCAGCCTCAAACTACTGGCTTCAAGCAATCCTCCCACCTCCCAGATAGCTGGGACTACGGATAGGCACCACCGTGCCCAGGTCCCCCTTCGCTCTTTAATTCATCTTCGCATAGATAGCCCTCTTGACACTGCACTCAAGGGACATTTTTGTGTCTTCTTCTTGCTTGACATCTCAGGACCAATCAATCACCCAGGTGGCCGCTCCCTGCTGCTGGACGACTTCCATCCTGGTTTCCTCCTGGCCCCTAACCACCCACTCTCTGACTTCGCCTTTATAAACTCCTACATGGCAAGGGCTCTCACAGCCCAGTCCTGGGTTCTTGTCTCTATGTACATTCACTCCCTAGGTCAGGGGTCCTTAATGAGGAGCCACAGGCTCCCATGAACTTGAGTGAGAAAAAAAAAAAATCACATCTTTGTCCACTAATCTGCAATTAAAATTTGGCATTTCCTTCAATCATGAGCTTAGGTCACAAATCGCAGGCATACTAGCAGGTCCTGAGACTCATTAGAAATCCCAAATATTTTCGTATCACAACACATTCTTACAGTGTCTTAAAACTGTTTTCACTCAGCCTGATTTTGGAATTATAGACGTTATCATACCCACCACTGGATAATGCTATGACTGATGACAGATTTCAGTTTTCATATTTTGCTTATGATTTCCATATTACTGAGTGTTCCTATCCTTTGATTTTATGCATTTCTGAGAAAGGATCTTTAAGCTTCACCAGGACCAGATGCCAAGGAATCTGAGGCTCCAAATGCATCCGTGCCCTGCCCCAGGTGCTGAGATGGGTCCCTGGACTTCCACATCCCCTCGTGCTGATGGGGCCATCACCATCTCCCACGCAGACTTCTCCCCTGCACGTCCCCGACTCACCATCTCTGCACAGTTTCCAATGTGAAAACCGTGCATCTCAAGCCCAGTGTGAAACCGTTGATTCCTCAGCTCCCACCACCCCTGTCCCTGCAACTTCTACCCGCTTCTCCTAAGTCTTTCCCCTCTCAGGAAATGGCCCCACCCAGTTCTGAGCCCTAAACCCAGACGTCAATCTTTTTTTTTTTTGAGACAAGTCTCCCTCTGCCACTCAGGCTGGAGTGAAGTTGAGTGATCTTGGCTCACTGCAACCTCCGCATCCTGGTTTCAAGCGATTCTTCTGCCTCAGCCTTCCGAGTCGCTGGGACTACAAGTGCGTGCCATCATGCCCAACTAATTTTTGTATTTCACCATATTGGCCAGGCTGGTCTCGAACTTCTGACCTCGTGATCCGCCAGCCTCGGCCTTCCAAAGTGCTGGAATTACAGGTGTGAGCCACCGCACCCAGCCTCCAGAGCTCAATCTTAACTTCTCTTTTTCTTACTGGCCACACTCAACCCACTAGTAAGTACTGCCCACTATGATCCCAATGTAGATTTCGAATCTATTTACTCGCCTTATTCTGGGCCAGGCTGCCCTCCTCTCCATGGGTCTGCCTCTTGTGCCTTCCTATCTCTAACCCCTCTGTCAGCTCCCAGGAGATTCTAATGTGTGGCTGGCTGGGCCCACCAGCATGGATAAGGACAAACACAGCTATAGGGAGTTTGGTCTCAGACTTCTTCATGCATCACTGACCTCCTGGAACCTAAATTGAAAAGCAGACTTCCAGGTACTGAGCACCTGCTCCAAGCGGTCAAACAGCAAATTCATGCCTAAGGTGAGCCTTTCCCAGGCATCTTCCCCAAGATTCTCATTTGTGTGAACGTGGACAATCAGAGGCCTGAAGTCTTGCCCAAGGTCACCATATGGCAGGCTAGGTTCTAAGACTCCTTGCTTAAGGGCTGCAGAGCTGAGCTGGTGATTCAGGGCAGCTCAGGGTCCTCTCGAGTGACTGGAGCTCCTCAAGCACCTCACTAGTCCCCCACTTGTCCTCTAGTTGCAAGTGGCTGGGCAGGGCAAAGGCTACCCACAGCTGGAACCCATCACCCAATTTGCCACACCCGCCCACCAGCACGGGTTCTGGGATGAATAATCTTGGCCAGATGGGCTCAGTTAGGCTACGTTGGGCTCTGGAGACTAACATTGGCCTGGGTGGTGGGAGCTGGGTCTGGCTCATGGCTCAGGCACCAGCTGGAAGGGCAGGGGATGGATCTCAATAGAGGAACTGACTCAGCATGGGATCTACTGCTCTCTATGCCCTGCACTGACTCCAGGATTAGACCTGCCCCTTCTCCATCACCCTCAGGCTGCTGAATTCTCAGGCCTGTGACAGGGTACAAAGGCCTGACCTCTAATCACCCTTCCAGCCAGCAAAGAGGCTGAGCTTTGGTTCCTGGCCTACCGTGCCCTCCTCCTGGCCCTGGGTTTGAGTTATGGCTCTACCACACTCTCATTGTGGGCCCTTGGAGAGTACTATGTTTCTCTGAGCCTCACTTTACAGATCTGTGTCATGGGTCAGGACACCCTGCTCTTTGGTAGGGAGAGGACATTTGCAAAGGGTCTTGAAGGAAAGGAAGGAAATTTTCACAGGCAGGGGCTTGGAGAGGAGGGGTGACCCAGACAGATAACAGGTGCAGATCAATGGATGAACAGCCTCTGTTGCCAAAGAGATCTGCCCAAGCCTCCTTCTCTCCTGTATTATTTAT